AGCAAACAAGTTTCAACCTACTTTTGAAATCGGATATCTTGTTGTATACAAATTTCTTTTGTCTGGAACGAACATCTATGAATCGAAAGCCGATTTTCTTAAACAGTTTTTCAATAACACGATCCGGTTCCTGAAACCAGTGTAAGTAATTAATTAAGTATATAGTTCATACGACAAAAGCATTCCCGGTTTTTTAAAACATTAATATCGAAAAACACATTAACATTTTAGTTTTCCAAATAAATGGTACTAATCAGAGTCTTAGTAATAATTTTCTCCTCTTCGCCTATCGATGTGTCAACGAACAGTGAGATAAAAATAAATTCCTGTGTAGTCGCACGTGGGACATTCATATAAAGGCAATTTCTAAGTATCAGAAAGCCTTTTTTGAATCAAAATTCAATAATATGAAGTTAGTATCTACTGAACATTTTTGAAATGAACAAATAACTATCAATTATTAATCAATAAATTCAAATCAAATCAATCAAATAACAATAAATTATTCAATACCGTCTTTACCATAAGGGCACACGGGGCCTGTGCCCAGGGCCCATTCTCAGGGGACCCCGAAGGACCGAGAATTTCTCTCACACATTTATTCTCAAAACATTTTTGTCAGGCACTTTTTTCACAAATCAGTAATCTTATCACAAGGCATATACTACGCCATTATATCGATGACTGCGCCTATTCCTACTGTACTAATTAATAATATTTCCGAACGCATCCTACCTAATTTACTAAGTACACCATCTAGCGATCACTCACGCAATTAAAGATATCTTTAAAGTAAATTTTTTGAAGGATATCACTTGCACATAATTGACAAATTACTCAGCCGTTCTTGTAACATTGTTGTTCGCAATTCATTTTTTATTCTCTTAAGCTTCTTCTATTATATAATAGAAGATTTTGCTCAACAGAAGTCCCGAAAGAAACCGTTATCGTAATCGTAACCAAAAAACCAGCAGCATTCTAATATCATTAATGACATATTATATCATACTGTATTTGATTACCTATAATAAAATGTCAAAAAAATGTTATTATAATTCGTTTTTTTTTCTTTCCAAAAGGGCCTCAAATTATTGTGTGCCCAAGGGCCCCAGACTAGTTTAAGACGTCCCTGTAATTATTTAAATCTCCGGATTTTACTTTACTACACAAGGCAATGCTTCCATAGCGGAAGTCATCCGTGAATACAATGACATTAATATATTTGAAATAAAATTACAATTACCACACTATAAGGCGAAACAAATTGATTTAAATCTTTAAACCACCAGGAAAAAATAATTATAAAACCGTTGATACATTTCAATTCGTCGTAGCCTAAAGGAAAAAACGTTATGTCTATCCGTATCAAACGAAGTAACAAAACAGGTATTCAAATCCTGCACTGATACCTGAAACCTAGTTTTCTAGAGAAATAGTACTTCATTCAAGTTCAGAAGTAGCTTCCACAATTAAGGGATAACGGCGTATAAAGAAAAACCTGTGGAAGTGCTGGTACTAGAGGCTGAGGCTAGTGGAAAGCCTACACAGGAAGGTATCACCGTTCTGCCTATTTCGGCGGCGAAATAATCACGCATCTCGGTTTGAAGAGTGGGAGACTTCGACCTCGTGTCTTAAGCTGCGTGGGGCATTGATGTTGTAATTGATGTCCATGAGCTCCAATAAACATTTAACAAAAAAGAAAATAAGTAAAGACACTACTGTAACAAACTATTCATTACGGTAAGCTCTAAGTAGGTAATTTATTTTCAACATAGATCACAGATAGAACAACGCTGTAAAATTTAAAGAAAAAAAGTATTAATACCATACAGTCATGATAAGGCGAAACGAATAGATTGAAATCCTTAAGCCATGCAGTCCATTTGGGGGAGTCTTTGAGTCCTTCGAACAAACTATATATTGGCGAATATGCGAGAAAGGTTAAAAGGCATTCTCCATCATTACTCATCAGATTATGAATATTTGTAAACCCTTTTCTGAAAAAAAAAATTGCAGAATATTATTCTACCAATATAATATTATCGGATAATAGATTGAAGACCCAATGCAGTGCATTGTATGAACGCATGTCGGATATCACAATTGCTCGATGAAAACAGTACCTACTGGTTAGTGTCAGAAATAGAAGGAATAAGTATGAACTCTATACCTATATATATCTATACCTATATATATATTATTATGTTTGCCATATCCCATACCACCAAACTTTCGAATACATTTTAATTTTGATGAAAGTACTTAAATCACTCAAATATGTGGCTAAGTTTCTCAGTATGGAAAGAAAGACTGATTACCTTAAACTGACTTCAACCATAAAAATAATACACTCATAAGACTTACTCCTGGTTCCGAATCCAATGTAATGTGTAAAATGAGAAAACATGATCGAATTGTCCTTTCATCTCATCGGGAATATCCCCTTCTATATTAAGTACAGTAAATGCTGTCGTCTTATTTCCGTAACGCTCTTCGGCGTGTTTGACCATTCTCTCGTTGATATCGCAGCCCAACAAAATCTTTCTACTTGTTGGTAAGTATGATCTCAGGATATCAGTGACACTTCCATCGCCAGAACCTATATCTAATATACTTTCTCCAGTTTCTTTCCAGTTTAATCTTGACGAATACTCATTTAAAGTGTCAGCTGCATCCTGCCTCGGAATACTGTTACTATTTTCGTATAATTCTGCATCGTCGTTCATGGAAAACCTGAAAATAAAATGGAAATATCGGGGATACTGTTTTTAGTAAGTTATGTTGACAGACGAGCCATACTAAAGAAATGCGCCTAAACACCACCGATTCGGCTCCTATTTTGATCAAAGGGAGGCACATCGAGCAGATCTGAAGTCGTCGTGGCCTAAAGGATAAAGACATCCGGTGCATTCGTATTGAGCGATGCACCAGTGTTCGAATCCCAGGCGGGTACCAACTTTTCTAATGAAATACGTACTCAACAAATGTTCACGATTGACTTCCATTGTGAAGGAATAACATCGTGTAATAAAAATCAAACCCGCAAAATTATAATTTGCGTAATTACTGGTGGTAGGACCACTTGTGAGTCCGCGCGGGTAGGTACCACCACCCTGCCTATTTCTGTCGAGAAGCAGTAATGCGTTTCGGTTTGAAGGGTGCAGCAGCCTTTGTACTATAGAACTGACTTTTAAGGCTCATGTCTCAAGGACAGTATTAGCGTTGTTGATGTCTATAGGCTCCGGTAACTACTACTAAGGGAACAACACCTTAAGCTCGTTCAGATCTATCCAATAAAAATTGTATTAAAGACTGATTTGCCGAATTGCTGCAAAATACCGTGACGAGGTCTGAAATAGGTAGTATTTTTTTTATTACATAGGTGATAGGACGAGCTCACAGCCCACCTGGCGTTAAGTGATTACCGAAGCCCATAAATATCTACAACATAAATGCCGTCACCCACCTTTTGATATGAGTTTTAGGGTCTCAGTATAGTTACAACGGCTGCCCCACCCTTCAAACCGAAACGGATTACTGCTTCACGGCAGAAACCGGCCGGTTGGTGGTACCTACCCGTGCGGACTCACAAGAGGTCCTACCACCAGTAATTTTTATTACACGATGTTATTCCTTCACCGTGGAAGTCCATCGGGAACATATTTTGTTAGGTACGTATTTCATTAGGAAAATTGGTACCCGCCCGCGGGATTCAAACACCGTTGCATCGTTCCAAACAAATGCACCGGACCTCTTATTCTTTAGGCCGCGACGACTTCAGTCGTAGTCCGACTAAACCTAGTATAGACCTAGACCAGACTAGTATAAATAAAATAGCAGCCCACATACTGCTCGACTGGTTACTCAATGGCCGCAGCCAAGTCCCCAAATTACAGTCTCATAGAGCACACGTGTAATTTGCACCAACAATAATTCGTGAATAACTGGTTACGGATATTGTCATTTAATACATCGTCGAATTTGAGACCCTACACCAAAAATGTGATAAGACACGAATTTGATTACGGCAATTATAATTTTCCGAGATGCTCATTAATACATTGGGTCGCTGTTACATAATGTTACAGTCACCGCCCGATTAGCCTCCTCATGTCTCTAGACAAACTGTATGAGCGTCTGCTCTACAAACGCCTCAGAGACTTCGTCTCATCCAAGGGCATTCTCATCGATGAACAATTCGGATTCCGTACAAATCACTCATGCGTTCAACAGGTGCACCGCCTCACGGAGCACATTCTTGTGGGGCTTAATCGACCAAAACCGTTATACACGGGAGCTCTCTTCTTCGACGTCGCAAAAGCGTTCGACAAAGTCTGGCACAACGGTTTGATTTTCAAACTATTCAAC